TGGCCCCCCAGCCCTTACCTTTCTAGTGGCACCTCCCTCTCTGTCTTGGTGCTCCAGGCCCCCTTGGGTTTCTGCCTCTGAACAGATGACAGGGCCTTCACTTTTACTGTTCCCTCTGTGTGGAACACACTTCCCGCTTCTGCCTCTCTCTCTCCCCACCAGTCCTGACCTGGGCAAATCCTATTCATCCTCAGGGCATAAGTGTAAATGTCATTTCCGCAGGAAGACCATCCCTGACCGCCCACTCTAGGACAGTGCCCTACCTTTCCCCCATCCCGCTAAGCATTGGTGAATTGTCTTTCCTGTGAGCTCCCCAGAGCAGGGAGCAGTCTGACCTCCCCAGTACATGATCACCAGTCACCAGCCCAACAGCCGTCCCAGAGCAGAAGCTTCCTGAATACTTGCTGAATGAGTGAACAAACTTGTAGCTTCTGCATTTAACGTGTATGTGCATCAGTAAAACGTGGCCTACTGCAGAGAAAAGATACAGAAGAAAGCAGAACTAACAGCAAGGGACAGGTGCGTGGACAAGGTGTCCATTCTGGAGACATGCTGAACAGGGTCACTGTTTGCCAGAGATGTTCCCCGGAGGAAGTCATGTTGAAGTGGAGCTTGGGATTTGGGACTTGTGAGCATGCCTGCCACTGACGGAGACACTGGCTCAAGGAGGTGACCTGTCCATGGCCACACAGTCAACGCAGTGTGTGAGCAAGATAGAGGTGCAGGTTGTACCTGGCTCGGGTTCATGATCAAAGCTGCAGCTCCAGCACCCAACTCACAGAATGTGCCGAGTGAGTGAATGGAGAGAGAAGACAGAGGTTCAAGACAGACCTGGGACCTGCTGCAGACTGTGTCCCCCCGCAAATCCAAATGCTGAAATCCTGATTCCCAAGGTTAGAGTGTTAGGAAGTGGGGCCTTTGGGAGGTGCTTAGGTCATGAGGGTGGAGCCCTTATGAACGGGATCAGTGCCCTTAGAGGAAGAGACAGAAGAGAGACGACCTCGCTGTCCCCAAGGTGAGGACACAGCGAGAAGGTGGCTGTGTACAAGCAGGAAAGGGGGGCCTCACCAGAACCTGACCGCACTGCCACCTTGATCTGGGACCTCCAGTCTCCAAACCTGTGAGAAATAAATTTCTGTTGTTTATAAGCCAGCCGGCCTGTGGTATCTGTTACAGCAGCCTCCAGAGGACCGGGACAGGACCCAAGGAGCAGAAACTGAAAGTGAGTTACAAAAGAGAACTTTGATGAAGGATGAGAAATTGAAAAGTATCTCAAAAGAGAAAAGCTTAGGCTCTCCTGAGGCAGATATTTATTTACTTTTTAGCCAGAGAGGCCAGTTCTATTCATTGATTTTAAAATATATTTCTTATGTTTGAAGAGCTGAGGCTATAATTGTTATGCTGGTTTACTGTCACACAGGCAATGTTTACTTTCAGAATTTTAAAATACTTTTACCAACAAAAAGCAAAATAGTCTCGTTAATGTGGACTCTCACTTCAGTAAGGAAACTGTTTTCAAAAAACATTAATTAGAGAAATTGTCATGCCTCCAACAGTCACAAATGTGTGAGTTGTTTCCAGTTTTGCAAATGAAGAAAACAAAATTGTAGCCATAATAACCCAGAAGGGTTGATGATAAACGATCAGAAGCAGATGCCTCTGAGGTGACCTGGATTAGATGAGATACACAAAGACATACATAACGCTATAGAATAACACACTTTAAAATGGTTAAAATGGTAAACCTTATGTATATTTTACCACAATAGAAATAGCAAAACATTCCTCCAAAAAAGGTTTTTAAGTGATAAATGCCAACCAGCCCCTGTTACCCTGTCATCTGGAGCCGCCCTGCCTGATTCCTGCTCATGGAACCTTTGCTGAAGGAGGCAGGAGGCTTAGGAAGACGCTGTGTCCTCTCAGCCTCAGCGCTCACCATGCTGCTGGGGTTTATAATAAGAAATATGTACTTGGTCTTCGTCCAGAAGCACAAAGCTCCTCCTAAAACCCTTGGAATTTCCTAAGTGCTAAGACCAGTCAAGATATTTTATATTCATAACAAACCTCTTTCAACTACATCTAAGTCTAGGTTAGTGAAGCGACTTTAGGATCACACCTAAGGATGGGAGCAGGTGGCCAGGTGAATCAATCACACGATTAGAGGGCTGGAACTTTCAGTCCCACCCTCTGCTGTCCGGCAAGGGGAGAGGGGCTGGAGATTGAGTTCAGCCACCAATGGCCCATGTTTAATTCATCCTGCCTATGTGACATTTTTCTAAAGAGGAAATGCAGATGGCCAACAGGCACATGAAAAGATGCTCAACAGCGCTTATCCCCAGGGAAATGCAATCAAAACCATGATAAGATATCACCTCACACACCTTCAGAATGGCTATTGTCAAGAACACACATAACAAATGCTGGCAAGGATGTGGAGAAAAGGGAACCCTAGACACTGTTGAAGGGAATGTAAACTGGTGCAGCCACAGGGGAAAAGAGTATGGAGGTTTCTCAGAAAACAAAAAATAGAACTACCACATGATCCAGCAATTCCACTGCTGGGCATGCATATGAGAAAAAACAAAAATAATAATTTGAAAAGATACATGCACCCCAGTGTTCCTAGCAGCATTATTTATAATTGTCATGGTATGAAAACAGCCTAAGGGTTCATCAACAGATAAATGACAAAGAAGGTGTGGTATGTGTGGAATATTACTCAGCAATAAAAAAGAATGAAATTCTGCCATTTGCAGCAATATGGAAGGACCTGGAGGGCATTATGCTAGGTGAAATAAATCAGACAGAGAAAGACAAATACTGTATGGTATCACTTATATGTGGAATCTAAAAAATACAACAAACTAGTGAATATAACAAAAAGGACACAGACTCACAGAGAACAAACTAGTGGTTACCAGGACGGAAGGGGCAACAGAGAAGTGGGGCAGGGGAGGTACCAACTACTGTGTCAGACGTGCTCAAGGACGTATTACACAACACGGGGAATACAGCCAGTATTGTGTAATAGCTTTCAATGGAGTGCAACCTTTAAAAATTGTATTAAAAATAAAATTAATTAAAAAACTAAACAAAAAATCATGCTTATATAATGAAGGCCCCATTAAAACCCAAAAGGATGGGGCTTGGAGTGCCTCCCAGCTGGTGAACACGGTTTGAAGTGTGGAAGCCCCGCGCCTTTCTCAGCCCTCAGCCTCTACTGTAGTTCCATCGGACAGATCTTGAGTTACATCCTTTCACAATAAACCAGTAGTCTAGTGAGTAAACTGGTTTCCTGAGTTCTGTGAGTACTCCAGCAAATGCACTGAATCCTAGGAGGGTCCTGGGACCCTCTCATTTACAGCCCGTCGGTCAGAAGCACAGATGATGACCTGGACTTGGATGAGCCCTGACGGTGAGGCAGTCCTGGGGCACTGAGCCCTGACGCTGCATCCAGGGGGTGGTGTCAGAACTGAGCTGAATCACAGGACACACTGCTCGATGCAGGGGCAGAACCCACACGTTGGAACTGAAGTCAGAGTCATTCTCACGTTCCCAGAGAGCCCAGAGGGTCCCGTTGCGGGCGGAGGAAGACAGCCGCATGCGTGGCTCGGCTTACGGACTGAGCGGGTTCCGGCTGCAGCTCCAGCATTTTCCCAGTAGTGAGCCCCGCCCGGCTCTCAGCTCCCGTTCCCACGCCTGCAGATTCAGCTGCTCGCGACGCGGCCCGGCTGTGGGGACTCAGCGCAGGGCCGGGGTGACAGCTGTGCTCCGCTCACGCGCCCAGAAGTGGCGGGCCTTGGGTGCTGGACCCTCATTAGCGGTTTAATGTCCTTCCTCCCGGCCCTCTTGTGTCAGTGGGGAGGGGACGCCTCGTGTCCCTGGGAGGGGTCCTCGCGCTTCTCCTTCCCTCGTGCTCATCGGATACTCAGGCAGCAAGGCCCGGGGTCTCAGTCCACCCCTTCTCTCTCCCCTGGTCCACTGCCTCAGTTCCCGCCTCCGCCTATCCTTACCACGGGCACCCACAGCCAAGTCTCCGTCAGGTCCCTCTCCTCCCTCCTCACCCTTCCCACCCTTGTCCACACCTGCCCCCCACGACCCCAGAGCCACCTTCTAACTCAGATGTGGCCTTGTCACTCTCCTACTCTCGTGCCACCTAGGGCTCCCTACTCCCCCAGGGGGAAGTCTACTGTGGCTCAGGGAACAGGTGTCTCCCTTCCCGCGCTCCCCACACGTGCTCTTCCCTCAGCCCCCAAGCCACTCCCAGTCTTTCACAGCCCTGTTCCCATCTCAGGGCCTTTTCTTTAGCTGTCCCCTTTCCCGGCAGTGTCTTCTCTCTGAACTCCATCATCACCTGCCTAACTGCTGCTCACCCTTCAGGGTTCAATTTGGAGGCCACCCCTTCTGGGAAGCCTTCCTTGCCAAGGCCACACAGCAAGTAAATTGTCACACTGGGATTTAAAGTCAGACCTTCCGGCTTCCAAAACAGAAAGCCAAAAACAGAAGACTATGCATATTTATGTGGGAAGGAAAGACTCTAGAGTGAAGTAGAGCTGAAAACATCTTGGAAAGATTCCCAAAATACATTAAATGAAGACAGCAAGTAGCAGAACAATGCATATGGCATGATTCCATTAAAAAAAAACAACCACCACCACCTGTGTTTAAGTTTGAATAAGCAATGGAAAAAGCCTAAGTGAATTCTAATTGAGCTGTTAGCAAGAGCTATTGAATGAGTGGATTCAAACGCTCTGTGAGCTTTGAATTTGTTGTATATTCTTTATTTTCTAAAAAAAAAAAAATCAAACTCAATCAAAGGAACTCAACAACTTTTCTCCAGTGATAAGTGAAAGGCTTGAATGCTCGGGAATTCCAAGGCTTAGGGACGAACTTTTGGGGGGAGGGTTCACTGACTACCCTTCGCCCTGCAAGGGACATGGGGAGCTGAGATGGTGACGTGGAATGAGAACGGACGTGGTTGGCTGTGGAGCCGCACTTACCTTTCCCAGCAGCTCAGGGAGGCCCAGCAGCTGCCCAGGCAACACGCCAATGCAGATGAAGATGGCAGTCGCCTGCCCCAGAGAGCCACGGATCTCCCTGGGCGAGATCTCCTAGGTGCATGGGGAGCACACTGAGGGCGATGCCTGTGAAGGAAGCGTGGCAGCAGTGAGAGAGGTGGCTCCTCCAGGGAAGACTCTGGTCGTGGCACCTCCCTCTGCTTTGAGATTGACAAAAATAGCACTGCAGCCATAGTACCACTGCCAGCACTCTGCACAAACTGCCAACACTTTACACACGCTTTATCACTTAATCCGTAAAGTATGGCTGGGATGTAGATTTCAGGAGAGGAAGCAGCTGATGATGGGGGAGGAGGTGATGATGATGGTGGTGGTGGTGATGGTGGTGATGGTGGTAGTGACGGTCGTTCACCCCTCAAGGCGAACATGCTTAAGGAGCAAAAAGACAGGAATTATCTCCAAAGTTGCAACATAAACTGGGTAATATTTGGATTTTTATCCCAAACACACATATTGAGAGCATCTGGCCTCATGTTAAAATTGGCTGGCCACAGATCAATTTGGCACAATGCTGCTTAGGGGGCAGTGGAATAGAGAGAAATGTGCAAGGATTCAAGTCCCAGAGTCCTGCCTTCCACACGGGGTGACCTTGATCAAGTTAATTAGCTTCCTGTAGCTCCGCTTACTCACCTATGAAACAAGGGTAATCACTGCTGTCTATTCCTGTTGCGGTGGGAATAAAATTACTATAAATAAAGCACCCGTCTCATGTATGGTCACTTGATGGACACTTAGAAAACTGTTAGGTCTTCACCCTGACACGCCTCCTACCCCCTGGGGATAATTATCATCATCTCACAAAAAGCTAATAAGGAAATGATAAGGCTGGCAGGAGAGAGGGGGCGTGGGTCGTGGTGAAGGACACGGAGCCCGTCTGACACAGTAAGAACCCTCCTTCACAGGGAGCCTGCACAGACTGGATACATGGACAGTGCTTAGCAGAGTGCCTGGCACACAGTAGGCTGTCAATTAATGGAGACTCTTTTTACTTGCCTGTTGTGAAAAGACATGGAAAAATGAAATGCTGATGGCTAAACCAGTGGTGAATGAGAAGATGGTCTATTTGAAAGCTGGTCATAGGATGACCAACACATCCCAGTTTGCCGTGGACCATCCTGGTTTCCGCACTGAACGTTCTCTGTCCTGGGAACCCCCTGAGTGCTGGGCAAACCAGGACAGTTGGCCATCCTGGGCCCGTGGTGCTGTGCCAAGCATCCCACACACCCGAGTGGCCTCTCTCGATCTCTGACCTCATCTCTTGCCTTTCCTTCTCCCAGGTGCCCCACCCTTAGGGTTTACTGAACACTCCAGGCTTATTCTGACCACAGGATCTCAGCCTTGGCTGTTCTGTTTCTCTGGAGCCCTCATCCACACAGCTCCACAGGCTGACTCCCTCCTGTCCTCCTGTCTCAGCTCAGCTTCACTCCTTCCCACGAACGTGACCCAGTTTGACCTAACGGGTCCTTTGCAGATGTAATCAAGTTAAGATGAGGTCACACTGGCCTAGGGTGGGCCCTCAATCCAAAGGCCGGTGTCCTTATAAGAAGGCCATGTGAAGATTCAGGGAGACACAGAGGCATGTGAAGATGGAGACAGAGATGGGAGTGATGCTGTCACCAGCCAGGGAATGTTAAGACGAGATGGTGGGGTGAATTGTGATGGGAAGGGGCTGATTTCAATAGATGAAGGTCTCCGTGAGTGAGGAGGTGTGGTGGTTTCCTTTGCTGCCGTCATGAAGTGCTATGACTGGGGGGAACAGAAATTGTGCTCTCAGAGCTCTGGAGGCCAGAGGTATAACATCAAGGTATCAGCAGGGTTGGTCTCCTCTGGAGACTCTGAAGGAGAGCCTGTTCTGTGCCCTCCCCTGGCTTCTAGTGCTGCCAGGAAGCCTTGGTGCTCCCCGGCTAAAGAGCACTACTTAGCGTCTTGTACTTTTGTGCAAGTGTGCTGGTGACAAATTTTATTAGCTTTTGTTTGACTTGAAAAGGTGTCTTCGTTTCACCTTTAATTTTGAAAGACATTTTCATTGGGTGGAGAATTCTAGGTT